TAATAAATATATATAATAAATAAATAAACATATATATATATAATAAAGGCCGCTTCTAAAAAATTTGCTTAAAAAAAAAATTTTTCTATAATCAAATAATCGAACTATATATACAGTGGTGTGCAAGAGTTTCCGGCCAATGACATTTCGTACTTTAAAAAATTTATTTGAAAAAACTTGATAAAATTTTAATCATTATTATTGGTCGATATATATATCGGCCGATAATGATTAAAATTTTATCAGGTTTTTTCAAATAAATTAAAGTAAAATGTCACTGGCCGGAAACTTTTGTACGCCATTTGTACATACAATTTAAAATATAATTATTTTAACGCGCGGTACGTCGAAAAGGGATCGAAATTTTTGACTCCATTGACGTTTCAATGAAATGCGCCATATGCATGCACCGCGTCGATGTGTTTTGATGGTATCGATATCGATTTGATATCGATTTGATATTAGCTTTCCCACTGGATTATAGTCTTTCACATTTACTATGACATCGCATTTTAAATTAGTATTATATCAAAATAGTATCCTCAACTATACAATCGTATATTTTTTTTTCTATTTTTGCGCTTAAATATAATCTATGGTCACATTTGTGAGGGAATTTCGTCGTTTTAAGGAATCAGAACCTGAGCAGTTGTCCGGTTTGGACTACTTGATATGTTTATCGTAATCGATATCTATTGAATTCGTGCACATTTTTTTTAATCTCGCTAAAATGTTAATCATTTTAGCAATACTCGAGCAGCCAGTCTTCATTGCTGCATCTGTTGTACTTATCACAGTAATCATATTTCTTTACATCGCCGTTTATGCATAGGGGCGGTTCGCCGTACCGTAGCTCTCACCTAGAACAATATTAGGGAGACACTAGGACATAGGCAGTAGAACAGGGAATGGAAGATATTTTATTTAGATTATTTTATTTTTTTATAATAATAATTTGATAATGACGTTGTAATTTGTTATGACTATGATGATAATAATTAACTACGATGATAGCAAAGCTTGCGGAGACAGATTTTGAACAGAGTCTGTTACCAATTTTTGATTGCGGAAAGGCACCAAATTGTATACAAAATTTGTATTATCTGACATTGTCAGCAAATTGCTGCCAGAAACATGACAAAGCCTGCTAGACATGCTATGCCAGCAGATTGGTAGCAGAAACCGAGCAAAGTCTTGCATAACCTGACAGATTGAGAGTAGATTGAGAACAGAATCTGATTCGAGTAGACTCTGCTTGGTTTCTGCCACCAATCTGCTGGCATAGCCTGTCAACAGGCTTTGTCGACAAATCCATAGCCAAATGCAGACACAGATGGCTATGGTTTTGTAGTCAAAATCTGATGGAGTTTGCTGCCAATTTGGCCCCAAGTTGCTAATATTTTGCTATCAGGGTATATATAAATGCTGAGGTTGCGCTAAAGGTTAAAAAAGTCATTTTTAAAAGTAACTTGTCACTATTACTGCGAAAAAAGTAATAAGTAACTTATAACGCGTATCGACGAATTACATTTTATGTTAGTGACAAATAAAGTATGTAATTACTTACAAATAAAAAGTTTTTTTTTCAGTAATGAATGATCTTTCCAACTCTGATGTTACCATTACCGTCATAAAAAATTCAACAACATCATTATTAAATTATTACCATAAAGTAACAATGTTATTATAAAGTAATAGTGTTATAATATATTTATATATATTTATTGTATATTTATTATAACAAAGCAACGATAAAAAGGGTGTTACAAGTTACGCGTGTACCTTTCCTGCAATATAACCAACACTAACAAGTTTCAATCACGTATATATTTTATTATGATAAAAGATATCGTTAGATCTATTACAGTAAAGAATAGAAAATAAAAAATAATAGTAGAAAAAATCTACATATAAAGAAAAGAAAGAAGTAAACTAAAAGGATAAAAAAAATTTTAATCATAATAATATTAAAATTAATATTAAATCGAGAATATATGAATTATATCACATGAATATTGGAGTTTATAAATTACTATCAATCTGAAAATTTTTCTGTAATTTTATAGATTAAAGGATAAATATCTTTATTTTATTATTATTTAGTAGAATACTATTTTCTTTATAAATTAAATATTCTATATATTTCTACTGACACTGATTGACAAATTTAATTAATCTAAAATGTTTTCTAACAAAAATTTATTTAATTATTTAAATATATGATACTGTAAATATACTATGAATAATTATTTTTTGCAAAAGAAAACAGAAAAATTACTGTAATATTTAATAATATAACATAAAAATTTAATTATATTTTTTAGAAATTTTATTATCGATATAATAATTAATATTGTACATATAATTAATACAGCACTTGATATTTTTTAAATATTAATAATATAAAAATGTAATAATATGTATGTAATTTATGTCCCAAAAATTATTCTGATTTGAACAGTCGGAGCACAAGTATGTCGAGATTACTCGAGATCGGTCATATGATCGATGACATAATTTACGATTGCGTATAATGTTCCAAAGAATTTATCCATCGATCGGATCATCTCAACATTGACCTAGAACGCATGTTTGTAACGCCTCGTCGAAGATCATTCCATCGTTGCATTCACGCAAGATTTTCCGACCGACTTTGCACTCGTAGTATTTCTTGCACTCATACTCATGAGGCATATATTCATCTTTTGTGCACTGGGATGTAATTGGAATCGAAGTCGGACTCGAAATCGGACTTGGAGCTACTTGAAGGCAACCTGTACCTGGTTGACAAGTTTTCGTTGAAATATCAAAGTGCTTGCCAGGCGGACACTCAAGTAGAGCTTTGTAACCATCTATGCATAAGTAATATTTAGTACATGTACATTCGTGTTCCAGTAGATCGCCGTTTATACATCCATGCGGAATTGTCGAGGTCGGAGTCGGAGTTATCGGGGTCGGCGTCGAAGTTGAAATTGTCAAGGGACAATCGGAATACTCTCGATTGACGCAACCCTGCCAGTATCGGCTAAAATATAGACCAACTTTACAAGAGCGCGGTTCCTTCGTACTGCTTTTACATTGATAATACTTAGTGCAATCCTTTTCGTCAGATATTAATTTCGGTGGACAATCGTCTGAAATTGGACATTTCTCAAGACAATCCGAATGCTCCCGACTGACGCAACCCTGCCAGTATTGGCTAAAGTATAAACCGGCTTTACAAAAGCGTAGTTCCTTCTTACTGTTTTTGCATTCGTAATACTTAGTGCAATCTGGTTTGATAGGTATTAACGTCAGCGGGCAAGTGTCCGGGTTTGGACATTCTGGTGAAGTCGAAGTTGTCGGAATCGGAGTCTGAGTTGTCGGGATCGGAGTCTGAGTTGTCGGGATCGGAGTCTGAGTTGTCGGGATCGGAGTTAGAGTTGTTAAAATACAATCCGAATTCTCCCGACTAACGCAACCCTGCCAGTATTGGCTAAAGTATAAACCGGCTTTACAAAAGCGTAGTTCCTTCTTACTGTTTTTGCATTCGTAATACTTAGTGCAATCTGGTTTGATAGGTATTAATGTCAGCGGGCAAGTGTCCGGGTATGGACATTCTGGTGAAGTTGGAGTTGTCGGGATCGAAGTTTGAGTTGTCGGAATCGGAGTTAGAGTTGTTAAACGACAATCCGAATGCTCCCGATTGACGCAACCCTGCCAGTATCGGCTAAAGTACAGGCCGACTTTGCAAGAGTGTAATTGTTTCTGACCGTTTTTACACTCGTAATATTTAGTGCAATTCGTTTCATGAAATATTAATTTGGGTAGTGTGGTAATGTTCGTCACTGGACATTCGTTTTCAGTTTCAAAAATAATAGGTAATTTACTCGCGGTGGTTACGGTCCAAAATGCCAAAAAGGCGATGGCGAGTAGATATATTCCTGTATTGAACAATAAAATATCCTGATCAAAATTTAATTAAATATTATTGCAATTTTTGAAATATCAATTATCTGTATATAATTTGGATTTAATAATTTTTGATCTAAATAATCTCATCACAGTATATAAAACTCTCTCGATGATTTTATTACTGTAGTTTTTATTATAAAAATTTATCAATGCTCACCCTTCATCGCCTGTCACCTATTTTATTCTTAACGAAGAAAGATTGTCGTAAAGAGAAGACAAATTTCGTATTATATATATAAAAATATCCTTTTAA